GTCTGAGGCTCTCTCTGTATCGGCGATATATCCTATTTGGGAATTGTCGGCTCTATGGTTCTGTCGGGAACTACTTCGACCCCAGCTTCTAGGGTGGCTGCCTCCTCGATTCTTTTCCGTAGAAGTCTCTCAACGGATGTGTGAGTTTTCGTCGGGCAGTAAATATCTGGTATGAGGAACCTCATTGAATGATTAGAAAGGAGCCCAAGAATCCGTGATACGTATCTCCGCTGTCTTAGGTTGAGTAAGGATTGCGCTGACCGTAGCCTCGCTACTGATATTAATGGTCCTATTGGTGTCGTTCGGAGAGCACCTGTGATTGCTCGGGCTTGCTTGTTGATGAGTTTTTGTATGTCGTATACTCGTGAGTCATTGGGCTTCATGCCCCACCATAGCTCTGAGCCGTACAATATTATTGCCTGAACCACGGCGATCTGTATTTTCTTCACGTTTGCCGGGCTGAGTCTTCTTCTACCTATTCCTTGCTGATAGTTGCTCCCTCATTACTCTGCTCTCTCCTCTCATCGAGGTTGCCCCGTAAGCTCGCGAGACGTCGCCACATCGCTGCTGCCTGGTCGCTTCTCCCTTCGTCATTTAGTAAATCGGAGATAGCCCATCTATTGTGTTCTCGCGTTGTGGAAGGGTAGACCCAATTTCCGTCTTCTTCTTCTGTTCCCCATGTCACTACTTCGTGATTTGAGTGAGTGGTATGTTCTTCATCTATTGCCCATGCCGCTATGGTGACGCCTACTGTATGGAGGGTTAAATCGATAATCGATATTGATTTAGTCTTCGATCTGGTGTGTGTAGGGTTGTGACTGTCATTGGCTACCATTAAATCGTATTGCTCAATCAGGTTTTCGAGTTTATCCGCCTTTACCCTTCCGGTGCAGTGCTGGTTCCAGAGCGGGCAGTGGGCGTTGAAATCTCCTGCTATTACCGTCCATCTTATCATGATCTTTGCCCAGTCGACTTCCTCAATGCTGCTCCACTGGCTCTTGCTGATGTTCCTTCTTCCGACCTGTCCCTCTTCACTCTCTTCTCTTATCCAGTTGTTATATACATTGACTAACCTCGTGCACCGTTCGCTGTTGCTATGGATTTTCTTTCGGGTGATGAGGACCATTATATCATCCGCTCGGTGTTCTATTATGAGGCCACTTCCTTTTCGTATTGCTGTTACTCGGCTCCTTCGGTCTCTTGTCGTGGGTTCATATATTGTGAAAGCCGCATGGTTGATTTCTCGCTTTCCGCAGCCCTGGAGAGTAACCTGTTCCTGTAATAGAACGATGTCGGCTCTTAGTTCTATAGCCGTTTGCAAGCCGCTTAAGTCACTTCTCAGTTTTTTCGGTAGTTGTGTTGTACCACCTTCATAATTCTTCTTCCATGTTTTCTATTTCCGTGACCTTGGGTTCCGGTGTGAGCTTTGCCGTCGTTGAGGCTAGTTGGCTATCTGTATGAGCCTTCTCTCGATCTTCCCCTCGCAAGGCCTCGACCTGCGAGTAAGCTAGCTGGCTCTGTACTCTCCGGGCTTTCGCAGCTTTCAGAGCTTCTCTCTTTCTGAGACATTTGTCTGACCTGGCTGTATGTGATCCTCCGCAGTTGCTGCACTTTTTAACCAGATGGCGACAGCCTTTACCAAGGCCAGCCTTACAATCCTCTTTGCGGCGTTTGTGGTCTTTCGTTAAGTGGTCCTCTCCGCATAGCAGGCAAGCTGGCTTGTCAGCTCGTTTATAGCGGTGGGCTCTATTCCCCATCCGCAGCACTTTCCGCAAAACGCGTCTGGGCCCGTTTGTATGTAATTCTCCACCGTATGTTGTTTCCCGTAGATCCATACGCCTTCCTTCCTGGCCCTTTCTGCGCCTTTTCCGTCCCTCAATGTAAGTATTACCGTTGAGCAGGAAGCCGTGTTGGCCCTTTCTCGTAGCTTTTCTGGGCGGAGAAGCCATTTCGGGGTATGCGTTAAGGATGTCCTTCTTCAGGCGTGCGAGTCCCTCTTCCGGTGCATTGGAGTCGTTTTCCGAATGGTAGCATCGGTTAAACTTACTTCGTGAAGCTTCAGTCTATTCCAGGTCTTGTTGATCTTTAACTCTTCTATAGCATTGTCTGCTTCCCCCGCTGCCTTCCTAAGCGTCTCTTTATAGTTTAAAGCCATAATACCTGTAACATTACGCCTCATCTTAGCTGTTACTGTTCCTTTCCCGTTCACCTCCACTTTCTGGACTCGAATGTGTGGGCGAACGTTTGCTTTGTCGAGTGCCGCATTTATAGATACCACAAATTCTGATGTTGGGCAGGGCCCTGCTTTTCTCTTCCTCTCAATTATAAGCCTTCTTTCGGTGTCGGTGGCGTGGTCCCCGGGAAGTACGTCTGTTGCCTCCTTTCTCTTCTTCTTGGACCTAGAGGATATGGCCGTCTTCCATTCTCCTCCTCCATCCTGGTCTGCTGCGTGCCCTTTCTTAACTTGTTGGGCCCATGTTAAGTGTCGCGTTGCGGTTGAAGGTGAGAGTCGGGTTGGAGGGTTGAATTTCCTCTTCTCGGACGGCTGGATATCTCCGTCGAGGCTGCTTGGGCCCAGGATCTCTCCGTGTTCGATTATTCGGCTTTGAAGCTCGGCTAATTCCTTTCGTAGCTTTTCCAGCTCTTTTCTTCTCTTTCAAAGCCATTTTCACGGCTTCTTGAATCAGATTCGCGAGTTCTGCGGTGGTGACATCCTCCACCAGCGGTAGCCCTGCCCACGGTCGCTTCCCCGATAGACGGGCTCGTTCCTTGGGGTCGAATTTCGGGATCTTCTTTGAATCGGCTTGGTTATGTACTGTTGTGGTCAAGTCGACTGTGTTGAGGGGTCGGGCGCCCTTCTTTGAGGTTTTCCGTGACACGTTCCTCAACACGTTCCTCGAAGCGATCTGCCCCCTCCTCTCTCGGGCCCTCCCCAGACCCCTTCTGACTGCCTGGTGACATCCCTTTCTTTACTCGTTTCTGTAGTGAAACATATGTCGCGTGTTCGGGGATCCACTGTTGGAATAATGCGCCTAAAGCGTGGCATGATTGATATCATTTAAGCGCATGCGTCCCTTTGGGATATGGCGTGTCACCTACTCTACCACCACCTCCCTCCCCCTCCCCTCTAGTTCTGCTTCTTTACAGGCTTTCTGTATACATAATGTTCCTCCACTGTCAACCCTCTTTCTCGCCGACCCTTCGCACTGGCGATGGTTGCCTTTTGAGTTGTGCTAGCGAGCTGCTAATCACGTTCTCTCCTCTTTCTCTTCATTTTAATGTGTATGTTACCTCACCTCCATTCTAAAGCTTTTGTTTTTTTTTTGTTTTTGTTTGTAATCATTTAAGCGCATGCGTCCCTTTGGGATATGGCGCGAGAACTAACATACAAAGCGTCCCCTTTCCGCAGTGCTGTACTGCATCTACTC